TGGGGTCCCACTCTGTAGACTGGCGTGTCAGGCACTTAAAGGGGCACCCCGGGTGGGGTCCCACTCTGTAGTTCAGTGCATCAGGCGTTTGATGGGCCAGCCTCTCTATTGTTCAGCTGCTGATGCTGACTGTGGGGGAGAGAGTGGCTACGGTGATGGGCTCCACCGCCTGCGTGTGACTCAGCAGTATTTCCTTGCTTCCATGGCTGCCTGGCTTTCCTCCACTGGCATTTCCCACCATGATCTCCTCCCTCACATCCCCTCAATTAGTGTCTCTGCAGTCAACAGCAGCCCTCGCTCTGGGACTGCTCCACAGTCCCTAAACTCCAGCTCTCAGCCGCTGCGCCTTCCAGGGCACCAGTGTTCCTGTCGGGGTATGTGTGGCTGCTTCAAGGACTGTGATTCTCATTCTGTATAGGCTGCCACAGATCAGCTGTTCCACTCTCAGCCTTAAATGTTTCTCCTCTGACTCAGACGATTGCCCGGATGTGGAGATCGGCCCCCTGCTTCAGTTCCCCCACCTGCCAAGGGCAGGTCCAGTCCTGCTAACACTCCTGTTTTTCCCCCTAGTTCTTTCTTCCTACCAGGTTGTGCGTGGTTCTATGTATTCTTTTCCACTGGTCAGGTACTCCTGCCTGCTCTCAGCTGGGGTTCTGCATGCCCTTCTGTGTCTGAGCTGTATTCCTGATGTGTCCGTGGAGAGAGATGTACTCCATGTCCACCTGCTCCTCCGCCATCTTGTTCTCCCCTACTCTGCATTTTGAAGATAATACTTTGTATACAGTAAAGTAAAAATTGTCAGGCAAGTAGTGCAATGGTTGTCTTCTCAAATTCCTAACTTCATCAATGTGACAACTTGCAAGCTACCTTCTGATGTCTCTTCATCTTCCCCACTGTGGTTTGGGATATTTAGTTTTAAATTATTTTGTAAGACTTTTTCTCTCAGTATATAAGTTTTTTCAAATTGGTTTTAAATTTTCTGGAGTTGTGATTCTCCTTTTTTATTCTAAAAAGTAATATCAAAGATACAGATTTCAAAGCTGTGAATATGTACATAGATTTAAATATTTCCTGCTTTCTACTGTAAATTGAGTCTCCATGTTTGTCTATGATTACTCATAGTAGTAATTGTCTATCTTGTAGGAGACAACTGCATCTTCAGGACAAATAAATATTTTCACACTCTCCATGATGGACCTCACAGTTTACCTACAGAAACCCTTCTGTGCAGGGAACTCATTGAATTGCTAACACTATTCTTTGCCCTCCTAATCCTTTTCCTTTGTTGAGCTCATTAACTTTTGGTTACTTTAAAGTATCCTACCTCAATGTGGGATCTTTCTTGAAGAGAGCAGCATCCAGAAGGATCAGTGACCATCCTCTGTACAATACACTGTGGTTTTGACTCACACCTTAGGGGCTTTTATTTATTTATTTATTAAATATTTATTTGTCTGCCTTGGGTCTTAGTTACACCACACAGGATCTTTGTTGCATCATGAAGGGTCTTTTGTTGCAGCGCATGAACTCTAGTTGTGGCACATGGGGTCAATAGTTGCAGCACACAGGCTTCAATAGTTGTGGCACACAGGGTTAGTGGATCTGTGGCATGTGGGATCTTGGTTCTCTGACCAGGGATCGAACCCATGCCTCCTGCTTTGCAAGGTGGATTTTTAACCACTGGACCAGAAGGGAAGTCCTCTTAGGGGCTTTTTACACTGGCCTTTCCTGAGGAGCTTTCCTTACTCACATTTTCATAGGTTTATATGTTTTCTTTCCCTTAATCTATAATGCTACAGCTATGGTAACAATAGCATTTGCCCTTTCAACTGTTCGTTAAGTGTCACCTTTGATCAGTTATGTAGACTTTGTGAAACACGTTCATGCTGTATAAAAGAAAGCTCTGTGCTTCCTTCACAGGGTTGTCCTGATATGCTTCCTTTGACAGTCTCCTTGAATCTTGCTCCATTTTACTGTTAATTTTCCCCACTAGCAATGAGTTTCACCATTCATTAAGCTTACCCTTTTACTTTCTTATTAAAAAAAAAAAAGTTTTTCCACGTTTTGTCTTGGATACATCCTATAGTGATTTTGATTCATTCTCTACCCCAGCAATGCTGACTGTAACCATTTTATAGAATACTCATTTCCACTCTGAAAACCTTCCTCTTGTGGTTTTTGCCTCCTGATCTTGACTTGAATGTCTGTGCTGATGGGGAACTCAGGTTTGATGTTTAGTCTGTACTTCCTTGTATATAACTGCTTATGGAATCCAAGTTTACCTCTGGACACATAAGATACCTATTTTTTCAATAAGAACATTTCCAATACTTGATGACAGACATAAGCTTTCCTCATTTCTCTACCCCTGGCTGTAGTTATTAAGCTAGTACTTCAAATTATGTCATGATCGCCAGAGAACAACATGAATGCCTGTGACTTGAATTCTGAGTGGACTTAACTCATGGGTTATCTTAACCTTTCTAACACTTTAAGGGTATAAATGATCATCTTTTAAATTCATATTGTGGATTCATCATCTAAAAAGTTATGAAGAGAGCTTTGGATTTGGTGTCAGTTAAACTAAATTTGAATTCTTGACAAGACTCATACTTCAGTTTTTTCTGACTTACAGTTTTTTCATTGTACACGTGGATAGCAATATTGGCCTTGTATGGTTATCCTGAGGATTAAGTAAATGAACCTGTATAGAGCTGGTGCCTAGTAAGTCTTATTTTCCCTTCTCTTTCCTACCTTATCCTTTCTTTCCTTCTAATACCTAAAAAAAATTAAGTATAGTTGATTTACAATATTATATTAGTTTCAGGTGTATAGCAGTGATTCATTATTTTTATAGTTTATACTCCATTAAAATTAATACAAGATAATGGATGTAATTCCTTGTGTAATACAATATATCCTTGTTGCTTATCTATTGCATATAGTAGTTTGTGTCTCTAATACGATACCCCCAGTGTGTTCCTCCTATTTCCTTCTCCCTCCTGGTAACCTCTAGTTTGTTTTCTAAATCTGTGAGTTTGTTTCTATTTTGCTATTTACACTAATTTGTATTATATTTTAGATATAAATGATTTCACATGGTATTTTTCTTTCTCTGTCTGATTTATTTCATGAGCATAATATTCTCTAGGTCTATCTATCCTGCTACAAATGACAGAATTTCATTCTTTTTTTAATGACTTAGTAATATTCTGTTATGGTGCTTCCCCAGGTAGCTCAGTGGTAAAGAGTCTGCCTGTCAATGCAGGAGATACAGGTTTGATCCCTGGGCCAGGAATATCTGCTGGAGGAGGAAATGGCAACCCACTCCAGTAATTTTGCTGGGAATATCCCATAGACAGAGGAGCCTGGTGGGCTGTAGTCCATGGGATCACACAGAATCAGACATGACTGAGTGACTAAGCACACACAGATAGAATATTCTATTATATATATAATCACATCATTTTTATCGAGTCATCTATTGATGGACACTTGGTTTGCTTCCATGTCGTGGCTATTATAAGTAGAGCTGCTATGAACATCAGGGATTGATGTGTCTTTTTGAATTAGTGTTTCCATTTTTTGTGGAGATATACCTGGGAGTAGAATTGCTGGGTTGTATGGTAGTTCTATTTTTAGCTTTTTTAGAAGTCTTAATACTGTTTTCTATAGTGGGTGTGCCAGTTTGCATTTGCACCAACAGTGTACATCTTTGGCAACATTTGTTATTTGTAGACTTTTTGATGATAGCCATTCTGAGATGTGTGAAGTGATAGTTTTTAATTTTCATTTCTCTAATAATTAGTGATATTGAGCATCTTTTTACATGTTTATTAGTCATCTGTATGTCTTCTTTGGGAAACTGTACCTTTAGGTTCACTACCCATTTATTAGATTGAATTATTTGTTTTTTTAAATATTGGGTTGTATGAGCTATTTATATATTTTAGCTACTAACCCCTTGTCAGTTATATAATTTCCAAATATTCTCTCCCACTCTGTTGTTTATCGTTTTATTTTGTCAATGATATCCTTTGCTGTGCAAAAGCTTTTAAGTTTAATTATGTCCCATTTGTTTATTTTTGCTTGTATTTCTTTTGCCTTTGGAGACAGATCCAAAAAATATATAAATATTGCTGAAATGTATGTCAAAATGTTCTGTCTATGTTCTTCTCTAGGAGTTTTATGGTTTCTGACCATACATTTAGGTCTTTAATCCGTTTTGAGTTTATTTTTATATATGGTATGAGAAAAAGGTCTAATCTCATTGTTTTACTGTAGATGTCCAGTTTTACCAGCAGAACTTATTGAAGAGACTGTCTTTTCTCCATGATATATTCTTGCCCCCTTTGTTGTAGATTAATTGACCATAGGTATGTAAGTTTATTTCTGGGCTCTTTATTCTGTTCCATTGATATGTTTCTTTTTATGTCAGTACTTTACAGTTTTATTTACTGTAGCTTTGTAGTATAGTCTAAAGTCGGAGAGAGTGACACCTCCAGCTATGTTTTTTTTTTCCTCTCAAGATTGCTTTGGCAATTTGGGGTCTTTTATGGTTCCATATGAATATTAGGATTATTTTTTACAGTTCTGTGAAATGTAATAAGATTTCTATCAGGATTGCATTAAACCTGTAGATTGATTTGGGTAGTATGGTCATTTTAGCAATTTTAATTTTTCCACTCCTAGAGCATAGGGTATTGTTGCATTTCTTTGCATCATCTTCAGTTTCCTTTATCCATGTTCTCAGAGTGCAGGTCATTCACCTCCTTGGTTAAGTTTATTCCAAGATATTTTTAATTTTTATGTGACTTTAAACAGTTGCTTTTTTTAACTTTCTCTTTTCTAATAGTTCACTATCGTGTATACAATAGCAACAAATTTCTGTGTATTAATTTTGTATCCTGAAACTTTGCTGAATTTATTTATTAGTTCTAATAGTTTTGAGGTGAAGCCTTTAGGGTTTTCTATATAAATACCATCCTATCTGCAAATAGTTATAATTCATTCTTCCTTTTCAATTTGTGTATCTTTTCTTTTTTCTTGTCTGGTTGCTGCAGCCAAGATTTCATATATTATGTTAAATAAAAGTGGTAAGAGTGAGTATCTTGTCTTATTCATGAATTTAGCAGGAAGGCTTTCCGTTTTTTGAGTATGATGTTCAGTTCAGTTCAGTCGCTCAGTCGTGTCTAACTCTTTGTGACTCCATGAACTGCAGCACACCAGGCCTCCCTGTCCATCACCAACTCCCAGAGTTTACTCAAACTCATGTCCATTGAGTCAGTGATGCCACCCAACCATCTCATCCTCTGCCATCCCCTTCTTCTGCCTTCAATCTTTCCAGCATCAGGGTCTTTTCAAATGAGTCAGGTCTTCACATCAGGTGGCCAAAGTATTGGAGTTTCAGCTTCAGCATCAGTCCTTCTAAAGAACATTCAGGACTGATCTCCTTTAGGATGGATATGTTGGATCTCCTTGCAGTCCAAGGGACTCTCAAGAGTCTTCTCCAACACCACAGTTCAAAAGCATCAATTCTTCAGCGCTCAGCTTTCTTTATAGTCCATCACTGAGATAATTTACAGCTAGCATCTAGATAACTAGATATGGTTCATTCTCTGGCGTTTACAGCTGCAGACTTATTATATTAGAAGTTTCTATGAGAGTGTTTTCCTATATAGTTTATAGCCTGATTCTGTTTGGTAGAGAACATTTTTTCACTTGACAGTCAGAAAAACTTTTAAGTGTGGATGGATTATTCAAAATCCCGATAAAAAAAGAAAGGTATACCTCTTCCTTGAGTTAAATGCACTTCCCAACTCCACATCTCTTCTTATCTGACTCCTTAAACTATGACTTTGCAACTCATTTAAGGGAATAACCCTTCTCCTTTCAAGAATGTTGTGGATTTACACTAGGATTTTGTCATTGTAGCACCATCAGAAAAAAGTAGCCTGACATCTGTGCTAGGTTCATAAAGAGGATAAGAGAAAACACATTGCTAGACTAAGGCCATGTGTTTTCCTTTATATTTGTGTCTTTCTTTCTTTCTTTCTTTTTTTTTTCCTAGCCAATACTTACCTGATGCTATCAGAGATTAAAGATGAAACCACTATTAATAAAAGTATGCCTAAGGTAAAACACAAGACTGTTCTCACTCATTCTGAACATTTAATACTTTCAAATCAAATTAAATCAACACACATTTACAGAGTGTCTACTATTGTCAAAGTAATGTATTAGATCCTCACGGGTACAAAAAAATGTAAATCATGATTCTCCTCAATTCTGTTTCTACTTTTAACACAAAGTCAACATTCTTTCCCTAGCTTTTTTCCTCAGAAAATAATAAATGCTTCTGGTTACTTATCTTTTAAAAGCTAGCTATGGCTAT